TCAGTTTTTTTCATGACAAGATCTCCGTACGGTTGTACAATCCTGGAAGTGTGTACCTCAGAAATAAGCACCAATAAAGATATCTTGATACGGAGACATCTCTAGAGTCCTATCGGAAACTGAAAAGGACGATGTTCCTTCGAGTGAAGAGTGAAGGAATGTGGGGAGCAGACCCATCGTGCGAATGAGCCTGCGGGACAGTAGACCGAATCCAACCTTAAGGTATCTCCTAGAATTATTCGTCAAGAAACTTAGCGTCCACGCCATTCTGGTCACATCTGACGGACCAAGCAAAAAGACAATACATGGGGGGATTCACGAGTGAAAAAGGCAGTAAAGCTTTCCTACCTGTACACGGGTTGTCGCGTTCATCATAGCGGGCCCAGCGGAGTGGTCACCACTAAGAGTTGCCGACCGCACTAGTTTCCCCTGAAATGAAAGGCAAGTAATTATAAAGCGAACATCGATAGACACGTCACTTTCCAGTGTTCAAAGAAAATGCATAAAATGCTGTCTAAATCATGCGGTGTTGGGTAAACATGCCAGGTTGGACATTAACCACAAGACGCCACAACGAAAAAAACGTATCACAGAGTCACTCGAGCTGGACAGTTGCGGAATATTGCGCGGGAAAGAGAGACTAGGTGATGCAAACCGAGGATGGCGTAAGTAGGAACTGAAAAGCATGCCGCTGAGCAATAGAGGCCAAGCAACGCCGAACTTACCACGGCCGCGGGACCAGCCAAGGCCAGTTGAGTAAGACTGGATGGTAGCTGTAGGACAACGTTAATCGCTCAATTAGGCCGCTAAATATTGTGAGAAGAAACCCGGCATAGTCCAGGCGGTCAACTATCGAACATGTTCCACACCAATAACTCCTCCAAACTTCCGTGCTACTAACAACCCCGTATCCCACACAGCAACCAATACTGCAGGTACATAAATGGAGCAAAACTGATGGCACCGAATTCGAACGTCGGCTCTTAGTCAATGAAGCTGACCTGATTACATTTACCGATACAGGCCGAACGCTGTATCCTGTTTTTACGCTAGCCAAACACGTTGACCCCTGCGCGAAATTACTCCACTATATTCACACTGAACACACCAAGAAACAGGATTTCGTGCTAAACCGGTTGCAGATAACACAGGTTGAAGAATGGTCGCCTGGTCCAACATGACGTTTAACTGCCCCTAAACTTTGGGCGCTGATTGCTGTTCCTACAGATGCCATACTATGTTGCACTCACAGTTCGCATTTTAAAAATTTGACTCAAATCAACCGAGTGGTTGATTGTAGTCAGTTACCAGCGAGTCGCATTGCAGGCTATATCAAGTTACACCGTTTTCGTGAGGTACACTGACAGAACAACATACGGTTTGTTGTTACTTCATTTCGCATCCGGCAGTGTCACCCACTTGACCGAAATAACACGGGTGGAAAAACGCTAATACGATGGTGCATCAAAGTAGACCACGGTGTGAAAGAAGTTGTACGCCTGTGACGTCGGAAGATTCAAACTTCTCCGTCACAATCATCTTGAAAATTTCCCATGCAAGAAGATATTCTAACATGGGATCTTTGTTCCTATAATAAAGTAAAGTAAAGTACTGCTTTGCGGTTAACTGTTCACAACCGGGTTCAAACAAGGTTTCCCAGGATTGCATAACCTTTCGTATTAGCAAGATACACCCTGGACACCATCTACCGGAGGGTCCGTGGTCCCAGTTCGAAACCAGGCTTTTCGATTACTCTTCTCAGCGATTTGGCACCTGGTATCACAGCCCTCGTGCTTTTTTCGAGTTTATGGAAGATATGCACCGAAATTGTGTCACAGCTAAAGGACTATCATTACGTCATCATACGGTCGTCCCGCTCACGTCCTGCAGACATTCGTCAGTGATTTTACACACCTCCACATTATTGAGTAAGACTGGATGGTAGCTGTAGGACAACGTTAATCGCTCAATTAGGCCGCTAAATATTGTGAGAAGAAACCCGGCATAGTCCAGGCGGTCAACTATCGAACATGTTCCACACCAATAACTCCTCCAAACTTCCGTGCTACTAACAACCCCGTATCCCACACAGCAACCAATACTGCAGGTACATAAATGGAGCAAAACTGATGGCACCGAATTCGAACGTCGGCTCTTAGTCAATGAAGCTGACCTGATTACATTTACCGATACAGGTCGAACGCTGTATCCTGTTTTTACGCTAGCCAAACACGTTGACCCCTGCGCGAAATTACTCCACTATATTCACACTGAACACACCAAGAAACAGGATTTCGTGCTAAACCGGTTGCAGATAACACAGGTTGAAGAATGGTCGCCTGGTCCAACATGACGTTTAACTGCCCCTAAACTTTGGGCGCTGATTGCTGTTCCTACAGATGCCATACTATGTTGCACTCACAGTTCGCATTTTAAAAATTTGACTCAAATCAACCGAGTGGTTGATTGTAGTCAGTTACCAGCGAGTCGCATTGCAGGCTATATCAAGTTACACCGTTTTCGTGAGGTACACTGACAGAACAACATACGGTTTGTTGTTACTTCATTCCGCATCCGGCAGTGTCACCCACTTGACCGAAATAACACGGGTGGAAAAACGATAATACGATGGTGCATCAAAGTAGACCACGGTGTGAAAGAAGTTGTACGCCTGTGACGTCGGAAGATTCAAACTTCTCCGTCACAATCATCTTGAAAATTTCCCATGCAAGAAGATATTCTAACATGGGATCTTTGTTCCTATAATAAAGTAAAGTAAAGTACTGCTTTGCGGTTAACTGTTCACAACCGGGTTCAAACAAGGTTTCCCAGGATTGCATAATCTTTCGTATTAGCAAGATACACCCTGGACACCATCTACCGGAGGGTCCGTGGTCCCAGTTCGAAACCAGGCTTTTCGATTACTCTTCTCAGCGATTTGGCACCTGGTATCACAGCCCTCGTGCTTTTTTCGAGTTTATGGAAGATATGCACCGAAATTGTGTCACAGCTAAAGGACTATCATTACGTCATCATACGGTCGTCCCGCTCACGTCCTGCAGACATTCGTCAGTGATTTTACACACCTCCACATTATTAAGACGGTCCTAGTGAGGCAGAAAAGGATCTTGAATGGTCTTGACACTATGAAGTGAAAAGGGACGCAAGTTTCCCATAATTTTTCTCAGGATATACTACCGACTCCGTCGCAGATGGGTTCACCTAAACCTACGATCCATAAACAGGGAGTATTTGTTGAAACGTTTAATTATACGCAGAAAAAACAGCTATTTTCAAAAGTGGTGAGTTAGTTCCAGCTCAATTGCTGCCAAAATAAGTGTGTTAGGCGAAATTCCATGCCAAAACAGCCTCCTCCCTGGCAGCTAGGCGCGGCTACGGCCTAACTCACACGTGATTGGTCAGAAGATTGGGCTGCCTGCCGGGCCAGCATGAGGCTGAGTTCCGATTGGTGGATAATGTAGACCCAACAGCCAATCATGTTCCAGTACTTGCTGGTCGTCAGTAGTGTGTCCAGGTGTCTGAATTTCCAAAAGGTTGTCGTTGCGTGCAGTGCAAACAAGACAGGGTTTTTGAGCTGTCTTTGGGCGTCTAAGTTTTGATGTGCCCTTTTGGTTCGTGCTGAAAAAGTTATCTTAGCAGGATTAGGCCGAGAGCTGAGCTCAGACATTACCGTTATCAGAACGTGAGAGCTGAATAGTATCAGTTGCCAAAAATAGAGATTATGATGCATCCAATGCAAACCGCCTGATTAATCTGTCATTATGGCTCCGGAAACAGTACGGTTGTAATTAGGAAAGCGAATGGGGTGGCGAATTTTCCGGTACCATTGGTATTAGGGGTTGGTTAAAGACGAAAGTCACGCACGTTCACCTAAAACTCCCCGCTGGCAACGAAACTATCACTGGACACACTGCATAACTGGAGAGACCAATAGGATTGGATTGCTTGTGACTGTTCTCCTGTAGATCACACATAGACTCCATGAAACAACATGTACGGTATAAGTTTCTCATCAAACTGTCTGATTTTCCCACAAGGCTTTATGATGATGTTGAAAGCCCCCTTGGATAAAATGCCTTCAGTCAGTGTGAGCAAAAACCTCATACGCCCAATAGAAAATTCTTTACTCTCTGTTGCCAACATGCTGAACCACAATGAAAAAAGTGCGGCGGAGTCTTTACTCTATCAGGAGGCCACATTTCACAAGTTCTGATGTACACTGAAATCCAAAGCTTTTAGTAAGATGATTTTGCTGCCAGGTCTAGAACGCCTGATAGTCCAAAACCAGAAAAAAGAGAGGACGAATATTTAACCCCGACGCACCATCAGGCAGTAGTTCTTGCCTTTACGTAAGCACTAACTGTAGGGCGAAAAAAATTCCTGGTGAGGAAGGGACGAATGATACAGATATCTTTCTTGCATTCACGTCAATCGTGCGAATGCAATCATTCCGGTGAGTACATAACAAAAGAAGGAAGCACTGGACTCGAGTCTTGTTCCTTTTGGAGCCCCTTACATATCTTCTGCCACGTGGGGATTTGAACTCCAGACATCTGACTAACGAGGCGAGCACGTCATCACTGGTCTATCAGCACAGACTTGAAACATCTGAATTATAACATCAGAGCGGAAGAACATGTAATGACTTGCCTGGTTTCCCCACGGCCTGAACGATGATGCAGTAATTGTCCCGGTTGTGTTGATCTAACACGAGTGAAACTTAAACCTTTCGGTACAGATTCATCAGACTGAACGCTCCAGAACGGAAAGAGGACGCCTCAGATGAGAGTTTACGTGAATGTGAATTCCACAACTCCAAAAAGCATCCACAACCAATCTCTTTCAAATGTACGAATCTACAGTTGAAGGGCTCTGTCTCATGTTGATGCCGTACTACAGCGGTCCACTGGGCATCATACAACGATAATTCATTGAGTTCCCAGCCTGCGGAAACCCGAAAAGCCATCACAATCGAGAAGAAAGCAATCTGATTCCTCCTAATGTGGAATGGCTACCAGTAAACTGCTAGGCAATATAACATAGATCATCATCATTTATATGTATCGCGACATCTCGAATATCGTAACGACTGAAACGTGAGGCGGCCTGGTGCAGCACATTCGGTTGCCTGGAAACATCACAAACGAGAGATTCAGCTGGGTTCCAGGTGAGTCCAAAGGTCAAACTAGTTTGTAAATGAGTGTGTACATTCGCTAATTTCGTGTAATTTGGTTCCAATTAGAACATAAGGTTGACGGAAACTCGGAAACTGCTCCTACCTAATGAGCCCCAAGAAAGGCGAAACCGGCCGTGAGCTGTCGGGGAGCTTTCAGCAACCTCATGAGTAGTGTACTACAACTCTATAGATCATCATCAGTTCTTACGTTGTTCGCCCAATTAGGTGACGTGTGACGAACCAATAGAACCTTCTGCCTCTGGTTCTAAAGTTTACACATCCGGTAAGCTTGACGCAACTTATGCTGCAAAACCCAGGATGAATTTTTAAACGGCAGTGCAGAATTACGTATCGTCCAGCGTAGTTGAGTTCAACAATGAAAAGGAATATCTGGAAATGACTCAGAGATGGGAGCTTATTTGTAAACCTACCCGAACAGAAGAGTAGGCCACTCCGAGTTTGTCCTCGAACGATTTGAACGCATTCGTTTGCCTGATCGCGGTCATGTAGGGGGGGGGAGAGGATCAAGGGAGCAAATCAGCTGTTCACGCATAACAATGAGAATCTGACCATTCAATAAATACTTAAAAAAATGTAACTGCGATTTGACTTATCTTAACCCTAACTTTGAGGAAATAGTGAAATACATAATGTGAGTTGGTCGTGAGAACAGTTGGGATACAAGAAATGAGATATGTTCAACAAATCAAGGTTACCTAAAATGGGCGAACCGAGGATGTGGTGTAATTCGCAGGCGATGCCAATCAACAAGTTTGTTCATCGTTGGCCACTATCAAATAACCAGGTTTCATCCGCGACACGTAGAGGAGGCAATGTTTAGAAGGAGTTTGGTTGACCCAGTGAGAGGAAGGCTAACGGTTCGAATCCGAACCAGGCATCTGTACTGCTTGGGCAACCTGGTAGTATCCCAGCCTTCGTGCAGCTAGGCACCGAAATGAACTTGTTACAAATGAACGTGTTTACGACAAGCAGAACGATAGCGAATTTTAGGAAAAATCCACGTATTTTTCCGGGTTAACAGAACCATCATTCGGATCTGCCCTCGCTCTGGACAAGCTGGCGAACCTTCGAATTGGCGGCGCCGTGCAATATTAGGATTCTTCTTTTCCCCAAAAACAACGGATGTTTTCATTTCCCACTTTAACAGAAACATGTGTCTGCATCGTTTCTGCGGTGAGAGTAGCTACCTACGACAGCAGCAATTTACTATATTCGTTTTTCCACAGATTTGGAGAATAAATGCAGTCAGTCACAGTATGGGTAATGTATTACTATCGTGCGTCAGTAAAAGGAAGAACGTCTTCGCTGCGGAGTTGTTCATTGCAGGACACCAACTGGACAGTCAGACTATTGGAAAGGGAAGCAAAACTCTCATATGTATCTTGTTTACAAGAACTGAATATCCATCTTTTCCTTGAACGGGTCTTACTAAACTTTCCTGGATATTCATTGACTGTTACTCAAATGCAAGCAAATGCTACAAAGCGACCCTACAAATTCCGTGATAGATCTTACTTTTCAAGAGACGCGAAGCGGATCTACGAGAAAACATACTACTCGCATGCCTCAGCAGTAGTATGCACCGTTACAAAGGTAGTTACTTACAACAGTAGTAATTTACCATATTCGTTCTTCCACGGATTTAGAGAATAAATGCAGTCAGTCATACTATGGGGGGTGCATTACAATCTTGCGTCAAACAGAATAAGAGACAGTGCTGATTGGATGGAGCGTTTGGGTTTAAACATTCGAAAAGAATGCTGATTCGTGCAAGAATCTCTGATAATTTTCATAAAGGAAACTACCCACAAGGTTGCTGAAGACTCGTCGACAGCCCACGACCGGTTTCGCTCTTCCGCTTGGGGCTCATCTGGTAGGCGCAGTCCCCGAGTTTCCGTCAACAACTTTATGTTCTACTTAAACCCAAATTGCACTGTTTTCGAGGAATACACTCATTTGCAAATCAATTTGGAAATCTCTGATAATGTTTCTTCGCTACAGGGAAGGACCTTGCATTCATTCTCGTAATAATGCACAGACAATCCCCAAGAAGGCTGGTTGCATCCAGCTGGGGATGATGACATCATTCATATCATGTTGACCGTCTTGTCAAGTTCCTTAACAGAGGTGATATCATGAAAAACATGGAGGTACGGTTCTGCACACTCTCGATACAACTAGACAGCAGAATGCATCAGTTACCTAGTCGTCAAGTGTGAATTTCACTGCTTAACTAATTACCAATACATTGTTTCTACAGGTTAATAAACTACACCCGGGGTCCCGGTTTTCAGAACTATCTTGGCTGGGATACTCCGTTCCTACCACCATTATTTTTGTATCGGGGCTTACGAAACCGACATTGTGAATGGAACCACAGAATTGAGGTCCAAACGGAACTGTGTTGGCAAAGAACATCAACATCTTCACTGATCACAGGCAAACTCCAGTTGCTTCAGTGTGTTTTAAGCCTGTAGGATGCACCAGGACGCTTTCCCATTCAGCATGTTTTCATGTTTGTGTCTTTAAATAGAAATAGACCTTTTTCATAAAGGAAACTACTCACAAGGTTGCTGAAAACTCGCCGACAGTCTCAGCAACCTTGTGAGTAGTTTCCTTTATGAAAAAGGTCTATTTCTATTTAAAGACACAAACATGAAAACATGCTGAATGGGAAAGCGTCCTGGTGCATCC